GTGTGTGTGTGTGTATTTTAATCCGTAGTATAAATTGTTTCTTCACGGCAATTATCTCAGAGCTCCTCATCAAAAACGCTTAATTTGTTAAAGCATGGTGGTCATGATTTTTAATCGTATAGGAAACGGGTTAAATGCCCAAAAAGCACATGAATGCCTCATCTTATTCCTATAATAATATAATTACAAGATTAGCTTCATTTTTCTATAATGTCTATCGGATCGAAAAAGAGAACCCCCTCCCTAATCAGCTTTAAAACCTGGAGATAATGCCACAGAATTAATTAATATAGAGATGCCAATTATAAAGCTTGATAAGCCCGAAGACGCCCTCTTGTTTGTTTGCCTACATTTGATAAATCCCAAGTGAGTACAGATAAGGATCTTGTGTTGTGTCACTGAACAACACTTGAGTAGTATTGAAGACACAAAAATCCACTTAGTTTTGATTGAAAGCGTCTCTTTGATGTGAGTGTATGAATATATATTATGACTAATCGATCTCTAGTTGGGGAATGTCTTGTGTTGGCCCGAGCCAGGATCTTTGTTGACTTGTCACACAGACAGCTGTTTGAGTGCTAAAGTTTCACCAGCGCAGAATTTTGATTTAGTGATTTCGAGGAAATATTCAGCATTTCCCCCCCTCTTCTGTCTTCCCCCCTTTTACTGAGGAAAGCTTCTTCGATCTGATTTGGTGGAGTAAGGGAGAGAAGGAGCACGATGAAGGGACTCTGAGAAAGACGGAGCAGGATGGAGTAACATCCCATCGTCCAAACTGCCGTCCGTCCTGTCAGCTAACAGCTCCCCGTCTCTTCTGCCATTGTCCTGTTTTAAAGGCTTCAGCTAATGATGGAGCTGCTGTCCTCCGCTCCACTATGCACCATCCTTCTCTGTATAATCTTTTGTCTTTTTAGATCCAAACTGATGGTGTTGATGGTGAACAAAGCACCAGACACTGTCAGGATAAAAGCTGCAGATACTAATGAAATGAAACTAATGTAGGTCAGTGCGACTCCAGTGACACCATGTTCATTTTCTTTTAGAATATGTTTTTTCTGGATATGAATCAAGAATGGAAAAATGACTGCTACTCTGCCATGTCCATCAGGCTTAGCTGGAGTTACAGGGACTGCAATCGGATTTGTTTCAACCCCACCACCCCAAGCCAAAATGTTGAATCTCTGCCCTATAAACAAACTACTCACGAGTCCATGTGACTTCTTCTTACAAGACTCTCAAAACAAATCTCCCCATGACTTGTCCTCTGCCCCATGTGCTGTTAGAGAGCTTCCTGCGGTTGAACACTGTCATGACCTTCTCTCTGTCGCTCTGAATGAGCACACACATAAGCTGTTCCCACCTAGAAAAAATGTAGGCATTTGTTTTAAAAAAAGGCCGTTTTTTTAAACAAAAGTTGAGAAACTGGCCTAATCTACACAGAACACATACACTAAATCTTAGCTAATGTGAGCTAACTGTAAATGTAACTCTCATAACATCCAGTTTCACAGTAAATGCTGAAAGTTGATCATGTATTTATTGTCACACACTTACAGGAAGTGCTGTAGCATCACTAATTGGACTGAATTGATTAATTGATAGATAAGAAATGGATAGAAACCAAACACTGAACAATGCCGACATTAAAAACTCATTTTCCTTTTCACACACAGATTTTGACTTCACAAACAGACCAGAACATCTGACCATAAACACTTGCACAGCTGAGCATTCTCCGACACACACTGACACATCGCTGCATCTCCTCCGTGCGTTCCAATCTCCATTTCCACTCCTTCTCGGGTCACTGTGCTTTTCCTCCGTCCTCCGCCAGTCCTCCGACGGCTGCCAGCATTTCCAGGTTCTGTGCAGCAGGAAGGCAGGCTGCCAGTCTGCAGGAGGCCTTCAGAGACAGGGGCTCAGACAGCGCTTCCTTGTTTACTTTCATGAGTTGTTGACTGGCCACCCTGCCGCGGCCGATTCGGTGTCAAAGCGTGTCAGAAGAGGCCTTCAGCGGATTGAAAAGGCATCAAAACGTTATGGTGGGGCCGAGCCGCTGAGTGGCGTGCCAAGAAATGAAAAAGTACACCCGCTGGATTCCTCATGAGGTGTTATTGTGTTTGAAATCCTTGTTTTCCAGACAGTATAAAAAACAATGTTACAGAGCTCCCTTTCTCTGCTTTGCTCTCAGTAGTATACCCTTTTCCCAAACATCGCCTTATAGGTGTGAAGGATTAGAGTTAGGCTAATTATGAGGTTATGAATGGAAATATGTCTCCCCGAGGTTGCAGAACAATTTCTGTGGAAAAAAGCACTCTTGTTATTCATATATCAAGATATGCCAGCAAGCCTTTTATGATGAATGTGCCGTGAAGGCTTCGCTGCCTCCATACTCTTTTATTTCCACTGTGAAAAATGGGGAATTTCATGTGTGGTTTCAAAGAAAAGCTCAAAAAGATCTTCTGGATTCTGGAAGCAGTACATTTGGCCTTTGAAGCCATGAAACGCTTGTAAAATATCTCTATGATTGCAGCTTTTTAAATCCTGAAAAAGTTTACAATTGAAAAAGAAAAATGAACAAGTGTTGTATTCTTTGTTTAAAAAATGTTGACTGAAATGACAAAGGCTCATGGTATCATCTCGTTAATAAAGAGTCAATGACCGAGTTATTTCAAGAACTGCTCGTCAAGGTAATGAGGCATGTCCCATGTAATACACACACATGCACACAGAATTGAAGTGAAAGTCAAAGAGGGATTGGAAAAGGGGGGGTGTGAGAGAGATTGTGAGGCAGCGAGACCCCCTGAGAGTTGAGTAGAGAGAGACTGGAAGGCCTCCAAATGTACCACTCTGGAATATCTTCAAGGACAATCAGCTAAACAGTTGATATTAAGAGAGCTGTGTGAAATCGATTGCTCAAGGTGTTATCTGCGCTGCAAAAATGGCTGGTAATTAGTCACGGCTAAAGGAGTGTTACCGAGAGAGTGAGACAGATTTAATCTTAATAGATTTCACTGCACTGCAGATACAGTAGCTCCTGAATGAGTGAACTCTTTGCTCCCCCCCCCCCCTCCCTCTCTCTCTCTCTGGCTATCCATTAGAAGAAAAAGCAGCTGAGTAAGTAGCTGTGATGCACTGCTGTTGCTAAATGTGCCTTCAGAAGGAGATGTTTTGCCCGATGTTCAAAGGCAGCGTACATTTGGAAGCTCCTACCTGTTTTTATTCCGACTCTCCAGCAGCAGCAGCGGAGCCATTATTTGTTTATGTATAAAGCTCGGGCATCGAGGCACTTCGGTCCGCCGCAGCTGTTGACTTAGAGATCCTGGCGGCACATTCAGAGGCAATCGGCAGACAAAGCCTTCAGTGACTGACGGGAGAATGGCATGTTTGCTCCTCTGTGATGTACCTGATGTGTTAGCTTAGCGATTAGCAGAGGCCAGGATTGATGCACTTAAGTACTCAGTATTTGTAGAGAGGTCAATGAGCAGGTGAGACCACTTGGTTTATTGTATGTTGGACGAAGACATACACTGATGTGGCTTTCAAACGTCCATTAATCATCACCATATACAAACTCTAAAGGGTAAGGCAGGTGTTATTTCAATGAGTCAATAAATCCCATGAAGAAAACAAAACATCAACACATTGTCTGCTTTTACTCATGTGGTTTGTCTATGGAACTCAACCCAGACACATTCATTCCTACTGAGGATGTAAAGGTTTAGATACAGTATGGGTAATAGATATTAGCAGAGGTGGGGGAGAAGTACTCAGATCTTGTAATTAAAAGTAGAATGACAGAGTGTTGGAATACTCTGTTACAAGTAAAAGTCCTGCTTTCAAAATGTTACTCAGGTAAAAGTACTCAAAAGTACATTATATGTTTTGATTATAATTAAGTGTTATCACAGCTGGTAAAGGTGCAGCTAGTTTGAATGACTTTGTATACTGCAGGGTAGCTTGTACATTTACTCCAGGTGTAATTCAAGTCTGATTTAAGTGTTGATAATATTTCACATCATTTATCCAAATATGTGAAATAACTAAAGTAACTAAATAAATGGAGTAAAAGTACACGATCTACCTCTAAATTGTAGTGGGGTAGAAGTACAAAGTAGCAACATATGGAAAGTTGTATACTTGAGTACAGTACTTGAGAACATTACTTATTCACTTCACTCCTCTGGATATCATTTAGTTTGTTGTCACATTGACAAGAAAGCTGTGGGTATGGAAATGTTGGTCTTTGGTCCAAATATGTCAACAACTATTTAATGGATTGCCGTCAAATTGAGTCCAGAAATGTATGATTTCCAGACCCTCACTTTTTATCCCATGCCAAGTCAAATATTTACCAAGAATTTTACCACATGCTTTACGATCAAACTTGCCAAACTAATAGTCTTCCCATCAGCCTCACTTGTACCTTTTTACGGTAAATACAAAATGTGTGTTGGATGTGGAAAGTGTTTAACAACAAACCTGCTATGTTAGCATCCAATGTGTTTCTCATGGGATTTTACGGCTGGGAAAAACCTCCCTGTTCATTTCCTCATGCTAACAGCAACAACAGCCTCAGTCATTAGGAACGATCTTACATCTGGAACCTGTTTTTTCATTAATATGGTGAAGTAAATTATATTTTACAAGGACGTACAATAATGCAGGAAGTGTGAAGTTTATGCTGTGTTATAAGCTTGTTGCTAAAGTAGTGCTGTCAGAGAAAACCTTGTAAAGTGTAGCAGCATAAACTTGGCTCCATTGGACTTTTCAATACCAGCATTACTGCCTTATGTACAACATTCATAACCTGTAAGGCTTGAATGATTAGTTTTCTGCTGAATTGTAATTGCTTTGTTGTTTGTGGAAGGTATTTCTTGTGTTTGTGATCTTTCGTAAACCCGCTAGTTAGGGTTACAGTAGGGTTAGAAAAAGGCACTCTGACTTTCTTATATTTATGCATCTCATATAAGTCTTTTTTTTTTTCCTTGGATCCACAGAAGCTGAAACAGAAGAACCAGCAGCTGAAGCAGATCATGGACCAACTGCGCAACCTCATCTGGGAGATCAACTCCATGCTGGCAGTCAGGAGCTGAGACACTCACACACACACACACACACACACACACACACACACACACACACACACACACACACACACACACACACACACACACACACAAAAACTACACCCAATGGTGGGTGCAGCGGTTTGGACGTTGACTGGATGTGTAACAGGGTACCACATGCTGGCTGAGGCTGCACTTTACCGAAGACATTGGGACTTTGGCAATATCAACCCGTTTCCTGAAGAAGACCTGAAACAATGGAAGGAAAGATTAGAGCGAGACACATGAAGACTGAGAGGAAGGTGTGGACGATGGCAGAAGATATTCTGTTTACCTCAATATCCTGTATTTTAATCAACTAAATAATAATCCGAAGAGTTGTTATATTATGTTTTATCTATTTGTAGCTACTAGCTCAGCAGAGGGTTTATGCCTGTAGAAATACATTGTATTTAATCTTTTGTCATAGTTTTAGAACTTTGTGAAGCCCTACATTAAGAAACATGATTTTATATGGCCCCTAAAAACTTTAAAAAGAAGGAGAAACAGTATGGCAAAAATAATGAGTCTAATTCTGACTTGATTTGTTTGATATGAATGTATGTGATATGTAAACTCATCGATGCTCTTCTCTGATTGGACTTGACATTTCAATACATGCCTTGTAAAGGATTCTGCTGAACTATAAATCTTCCTGTGATTTTTTAAAAACTCAGCGCTGTTTTGTGATTTTTGTTCGCTGGTCTATCTGTTGTTTAGCCCGTCTGTATTCATCCAGCATCTCAAAGTCACTCTTAGGAATACTGCTAAAAGATCATTTCTTATTACTATAACAATGTACCGGACGAGACCAGCTTTTCATTACTCAATGTTGGACAAATAATGTTTCAAAATGACCTTAAACCAAGTCTGTAATGCATGTATGTTACACTTCTAGCATATCCCTCACTCCTAACACACTAAGTTAACGTTTATCTTATGTGAGACACCTTTTTAGATTTCTGGTGTGTCATGATTTGAACTAAAACATGTATTTTAAGACAGTTTTTTTTCAATAGCTTCCATGTCATGAAACTATATCCATACTCAATACTATAACTACCCTGAACCTTTTCTTGAACCGTTCTTATTATACATCCATGGTCTCTACCTAACCGGAGTCACGCTGTGTGTGTCCGTCAGGAAACAAGCTGTTTACAAGTAGTTCCAGCAAACATCCACTGATAAACTGCGATGTTAACAACCTCATGATAACCTCATATGTTTTTAACTTAGGATCATACCTGTGTTTAGTCTAGAAAAAGGTAAATGTGTGCATTTTATTATAAAGTTGTGTATATTTACAGACTGTTGCAAAAACTAAGAAGCTTATAAACATCAGGTTTAAAACTAAAAGAGCTTTGAAACACAATGAAAGATGTTTGGAGTTTTATTTGAGTTATTCATTTAAATTTTTTGTCTAAGAGATGCTGATTTGAAACCGTTGTTACATACAGTTACGGCATTTCCTGTTTCTGCCGGAGAGAGGGGAGGCCGTCCCAAACCTTGCTGCTGTATTTACTCCCTCCATCTGACAGGAGGGAGCCTCGTTGAGCTGCGAGTGTGGCTACAGATGGAGTTCACTCCGTCACGGAGGGGTAGGGTCGAGGGAGTGGTTTGGGATTGGGCCTATGAATGTTTGTTTGAAAAATCTAGTTTTCTATTTAAATGTCTTGATTTTTGTGATGGCTTCCATGTCAAATGACCAATTGACCCCCAATCCTACTCTGATATTATTTCTACACCGGACACATAAGACATGACTCTTTTCATTCGATTTAAGAACCCCTTTTATATGGTAATTATTAAGTATTTGTAGGAAGATTTTGCAGTTTTCAATTAAAAACTTTGCTTTACCAATGCAGCATTGTATTACGACACTGGACAAATAGGACCAACATATTTTTATTAGGGCTTCTTCAAAATGTATGTCACAATAGTCATGTGAACAATACTCAAATGAAATTGAAATATTAATCAAATCTAATAAAAAGAGGAGTAGTAAAGAGATGCTGCATTCATTTTGAGTCATGAGGTCACATGACAAGGCAGGTATTGAACAAAATCCTCGTTTATAGATTGGAAATGTCAGACTGAGTAAGGGTAAGACGGAGAATTCCCAAAGGACATCATTAAATCCAAACATGCAACATGAGCTAAAATCTGAGTGCACACACACACACACACACACACACACACACACACACACACACACACACACACACACACACACACACACACACACACACACACACACACACACACACACACGTCAATGCCGTCACAGATATGCATGAGAATATGGCTGTCTGATATGGATGCGTTTAATAATTCAGAGCAAAGCCGGGGTCCCATCTGAGATGTGTTCTGAGGGCACGGTCCTCAGGGAAAGCAGGACAGACGCAGCACTGGAGCTGAGAGGGGGCTTTCAGAGGAGTAAAGACAAATCTATGGCCAGAGTAGTGACTAATAAACCCCCCCTCAGAGGTCTGGCTGGTTATAATATCTGTGAGGGCCGTGCAGCATTATGACTGTAATAGTGGAGTGTGTTCTCACTGAGCAGGGTCAAAGGTCAGGGTCAGAGGTCAGAGGCTGAGGAATGCCATTTATTCAGAAATGTACGACATACTGTATGTCATTTTTAGTGATATTTTTAAACATACTATAACCCTTTTTGCGATATTTTCGGCATACTAATGCAATTTTTTGTGATATTTTGGACATAATATACAATGTCTATTTTTTTTTATACTTTTGACATTCCATACTATGTTGTTATTTGTGATATCTTTTGACATATGTTATGTTGTTTTTCTTATATTTTGACATACTGTACTTTTTTTGTACTGTACTCGTTCTCATTCATAACACTCCGTTCGATGTCTCACTATGGGATGCGCCTCATCGCGGAGCAAACAGAAGCATCAATCTCATTACGCCAATCCTGATTGGCTGGTGATCTTGACGTCAGCGTCAGGGAATCCACCCACCCTATAAGCAGCTTGCGCCACGTCGCAGCGTCATTCAAACACCTCTTCTCGCTTCAGAGCACGTCTCGACATATCAGTAGCCGGGCTAGCTTAACAGTCCACAGACTGAACCACAAGCTAACTTTCGGTCGACGGGCGCTCGTCGGCTACTTTTCTGCTTTGCAAGAAGACTGTTAATACGTAAGTAACCTATAGTTTTTATCAGATATTTTCCACATAATATACTATATCGTTTTTTTCTGATATTTTGACATGCTATACCATCTTCTTCTTTCAGAAATGTTTTACATACCATCATTGGTTGTTTTTTGTGTTTGTCATTTGTATCAACCTTTTCAAAACATACCTCTTTTATAAAGTTTCAATGACATACTATAAGTTTTTTTCTATGACATACTATGCTGTGACTTTATGTTTGACATTATTATTTTTTGTTTGTTAAACTGTAAAATGATATCTCTTTGGAACACTATATAATTCTTTTTAATATGTTTTACTTATAATACACTATAACGTTTTTTAGCATGCTATGCTAGGATATTTTTCATGACTTTTTATGACACTGTACGCTGATGTTTTCCTTATAACTTTTAACTATACTATGTTTTTTTTTTAATTGTATAGTAGTATAGTATATCATTTTTATGGATATCGTTACTATACATTTTGCATAGTGTACTTGTACTACTCACTATTATAAAGACAATGTTTTATGAGATGCTCTGAATCATGTTATGCCATTCTTTGCTGACTTTTAATGGCAAAATATAATATGAGTTTTAAAATACTAAAGTATGACTTTTCACCGGCCTTTATTGTGAAATTCAATAGTATAAAATATCAATAATTTTCACAGCAAACATTCAAAAACACTGTAAAAAAACGGATCAATGCAATGCAGTTATCATCAAATATGAGTTTATTTTTTTATAAATCATTCTTACAAAATTGGCATTTACCTATTTCATTTGTGACCTCTATAAAAGTCTTCTGTTAATTACATGGTAGGAGGGAGGAGAAGGCATCGGGACAGCTGGGCTCGATTGAGTCCTTACGGATCAACAGATCTTACTGCTGATTGGTAAAGTGAAAACAGCCAAATCTCTGATAAATAATCCCAAACAGGAAGTGGTCATACGTTGTCGCCTTAGCAACAGTGTCCAAACACAAAGATGAAAACAGGGTTTTGGAATAAGGGAATGGAAGCTGTGACTCATCCAGTGTATGAATGCGGGGCTGTGGGCCCTGCTGCCCGCCTGCTGGAGGCGTCTCGGACAGACAGAGCTCGGCATCTCAAGAACTCACATGTTGATAAAAAGGCACAAATCAAGAACAGACTAGTTTCCAGCACACACGCTGTCGACACTATAAACACCAACTGCCTGGCACATTTCGGGTACACCTTCTTCCATCTGTTTCCATGCAAACAATGATAACTTGCATAATGTTCCCCCTGATCAGGTGACAGAGGCTTTGTAAGCGGATGCAGAGGTTTTCCAGGTGGCCTAAATCACATCCGTCACACTCTGATGGAGCAGCGGACTCGATATACTGTACAGCACACCAACTGAGGGATGGAGCAGGTCTCTGTTGCCATGTTATCTGACCCGAAAGCAGGCTTTGAAAGAGGCAATTTAAACACAGTGTGTACAGCCTCAGACCCATTACTGTAATGCATGAGGGGAAGATGTTACAGCACAATCTCAAAATGTTTCCATCTGCTTCAGAGGACCCAGCTGCTTATTATTTTCCATGTGTCAGTTGGCGTAGTCTTTATAGGGGACTTTGCAATTTGACTCCCGCGCAGAGCCACGATTGAGCGCCCCAATCCAATTCTAGATCGCTGGTGTATGCAATCTTTTAGAGTTAAAACTCAAGTCTGGGGAGTTGGGTTTGAGAAAGAGTGTGAGTAAGTTTCCCTGGAAAACCAATGCACAGTGAAACATAACACGAGCTGTGTATCGGCATCTTTGTGGATTAATGTGCAGCGCATAGAAAATAATCAGAATAAATACCACTACCCCCCCTCAGTGATCCAGGGTCAGTCTTATGTTTGCGCCACGTCATCTCAAATCGTACACTGTTTTTTTTTTTTTTCTTCAAAAAATAAATATATGCCTATATACAGTGCTGAGAGGCGCATGGATTTGAAATGGGCGTTGTGCTTTGCGTTTGAAATGTCTGCAAAGCTGGGGGACGCTTGAGATGATCCACATACAGTGATTCAAACGATCGGACATGAAAGGCTTGATTTGGATTCGAACAATATGGTTTTCTAAAGAAGGAGAAATAGGAACCAGATGCACACAGAGTAAGGAGTGTGTTGTTCCCAGAATCACGTTCTGTACCCTAGATGAGAGAACGTTGACTGCTGTGACTCGTAAATCTCTCCTGGCAAAACAACTAACACTCCAAACTTGAAGTCACAGAACGTAACTACACAAACGATATTTAATGCAATGATGAGGGAAAAAAAATACATGATAGTCCTGCTGTTTGATAAATGCTGAAAACCGAGCAATGTCAGCATTTGGATATGACACTTCATAGCATGAACGACACCTTTGTTGACACTGAAAAGGCTTGACAATACATTTCATATAATCTATTCGTAAACAGATAAAAACCAAAGTAAAACATGTGTGACACTGATAATGAAAATGTTGATGTAAGCTAATGATTAACACACTGAACAGACATTACGCTGAATGCCTGCCTGACAGAAAGGCCACTAAAAGCATGCTGCTTTCATTTATGTGTCTGCAAACTAAATGTGAGAGTCGCCTGCGCTCACAGCCGCTGAAGCTAGTAATTTAAGCATTTAGATCTGGTTGTCCAATACCAATAAAGGTAATTTAAGGTGCAAAATGTTAGGCGGTTTGCCGGGGATACTATGGGCGATATGAGCAGATGTTATAAGGGGAAAAAAAGACCCCCTCCCAAGGCTAGCATCAGCCAGCAGGTCATGTTTGTGGGTCACTGCCTCCACATCACATCGGTCTCTAATGTTAGAGTGTTTCATCAACAGCTTGTCTCCCGGGAATAAAACTGCACTCCAAATGAAATAGCTTTACCTAATTGAAGCCCAAACATATCTCTGTCTGACAAATGGAGGAGAAAACCTTTTGTCAATGTAATGGCTCCGAAGTCCTCTTATATGTCACAGGGGAAAAAAAAATTGTGATGGCAGGAGAGCCAGATTGGACTGATGACTCGAATATTTCAACACAAGAGCGTCTAGGCATCTCAAAATGATGTAGGCAACGTGATGTGCAATAAACAATTCTTAAAGGCAGACCCTGATGACAGAATGGCACTGATGCGCTCAGCGTTTAAAAACGGAATCTCTCTACAAGCACTCCAGTGAAATGACGCCGGTCACTAAAGACCTGCGATGGACTGAAATGTTTCTGTTCCCTCCCTGTAAGGATAGTGCTGCGAGGCCATGCAGGAAGAATAAATGGGAAAAACAAGTTTGGGTTAGAAAGCAACGTTATGCTCCATTTCATCTAGAAATGTTCATTTCGCTCATTCCAACGGAAGGAAAATGTATCCCGCTTGAGCTTATGGTTGGATGAGCCAACTTTTCAAGGCTCTGTGCACACAACATGCACGCACACATAAACACACTCACACACGCGCGCGCATACGAGCAAAGAGTTTGGAGGGGGAAATAAAAGATGATGAAAGTAAGTGAAAAGAAAAAAAAGATGAGAAAAGTACAAATGCCGCGGTAAGTGTGAGAGGAAAATGGGATATGAAAGTAGATGTTTTTCTAACTTAACCCAGTGATAACGGGGCAGCGGAGGGACCATTATAAAAGCCATATCAGCACATCAAGGAATGAGCCGAGGAGGGGGGGGGGGGGGGGGGGGTTGTTTTCAGGCTCAAGGATGTATTTTGAATTTCAAGAAATAATGGCTGCTTTGCTATAAAAGAAACCTTGTCGGGCCACTTGAATAACAGGTTGGACACTGCTGTTTACGTTTCTGCTTTGAGAATGAAAATACGACACTGAAGACGCTCTGATTTGAAACCTCTTAGAGAGAAGAGAGTCAACAGTGACACCAGAGAGCTGATTTGTACAGAAATCAAATCAACTAAAGAACAGGGTTTCGTGGGATATGAGGCAGGGGTTTGGGTAGTCCAGTATTACATCCTGATGCAGGCAAGGGGGAGGGTTGCTAGGGGCGATCAGTAGGTGGGCGGGGTTGCCAGGTTTGTGTACACCTTCCCTCTTCTACCGTCCTGCACATGTGCCGAGAGAGCAGGAGAGTCAATGTCGTGCTTGTTCGCGTTGTACAAAAAAATATTCTATCCAAGAGTTCTCGTCGTCAGTAGTGTGCGCTGCGTGTTTGCACGTTTGCAGAACATACAGGACTGTTTGGCATGTCCATCAGTTTGTGTACTCTTCTCTGTCTGTCTGTTTGCGTTTTCTGTTTGAGTTTTTTGTATCCAAACGCCATCTGCTTGTTTCCTATTCATCCCTCCACACGTCACGTCCTGGCGCTGTGGTCGTTGGCGATGTGCTGAGTGGAAGACAGAGTGCCCCCCCCCGTCCACCCCACTGGAGTCCTACTACTCCTTCTGCTCTCCACTGAGTCTCTCTCCCGCGCCTCCCCCTGCGTGGGGTCTCCCGCGAGGGGGCGCCGGTCCTGTCAGAGCCTCTCGATGTCCCTGTATTTCTTGCGCAGGATGGAGACCTGGTCCTTGAACAGGACGGGGTCCAGCCTCATCTGGGAGTGGACCAGCGGCATGGCGCCAAACCAGCTGGCGAACTTGTTCATGCAGGTCTGCCGCTGGGCGAAGTGGTCTGGGTCGGCCCAGCGGGAAGCCCTCGAAGACTGGGGGAAGAGGAAGAAGAAAGTTAGCTTCATATTATTACAGCAAATAATGACATTACATTGCATTGAGCTGAGGCTTTTATCAAAGTGACTTACAATAAGTGCAATAAACCGTAAAGATTCAAACTAAGAACAACAAGAATATATTTGATGACATATATATTAATTTACAGGGGTTTATCTAGAAAAATATAGTGTGAGGGCGCTGATCTTGTTTCTAAGATGTATAAATTCTCACAAGAACATGGCGCCCCTATACAAGATGGCCCCGCAGACGTAAACAACAACGCGTAAAAACAAAGCTGTATATGCGTCTGACGGTCTATTTGACCTGATTTCATATTTCTTGAGTAATTGTACAGTTTTTGACAAATAGATTTTTTTTAAATGTTACGGGTAATATTGGCATTTTGGTATGAGGGCGCAGTGCCCCTGTTACCCAGATAGGACAACACCCTGCTTTAGATAAGTGATTCATCACCACGGGTTACTGATACTCAAGGATGTACTTCTGCTTTTGCTAAGGGCTGTCCCTTAATTACATGGAGAAATATACAAGGTATGAATTTATATAGCCTGATTTGTGCTAATGATCTCTAGAAAAACAGTTTTGTCATAATAACCAGTTAGCTAGATAGTTGAGGTAAACCAGTTGACATAACAAGCTTAAAATAATGGTGAACCAGTTCAAATAATAAGAGCTAGTTTGAATGGATAAACAGCGGTAAAGAAGACATTAAGTAACATTTTACATAATTAAGTAAATGTTATGGTTATCAGTTTGAAATGGTTAGATATAAGGAAATGGCTAAATGGTAAACAAACAAAAAGAAGCTAAACCGTGCTAAAATAAAATGATTAACTGTAGGAATAGTGAGCTTAAACACAAACAATTAAACTGCATGAAAAAGCATTGGAACAATATCCTAGTGTATGCTGTAAAACTTGAGATCCACTTCAAAAGCAATTGTTATGAACTTTTTGAACGTGGTGTCGATGGGATGGATGTGGGGCTCTGCCAGACAGAAACCACAACCTCAGATCATTGGCAGGAAAGAGACGTTCTCATTAAATGAGAAAGTTCGACAATAACAGTCATCTGCATCCTTTCATTCAATCATAGTCACATTTCAGACGCTGTGACAAGAGAACAACATTAATACATGATGAAGGACATTAACGCTTCTCAATAAATCATCAACTGGATCATATTCTATATTTGGGAGACTGGAGTCAGACTGGAAAACTCTAAAAAGCCATAAAACTGACACGGCTCCTCTCTGAGCTTTTGTCTCTGGGCTGAACAGCGAGTGACTTGTCCTGTTTACCCACGGGCCGCACCAAAGCATTTTAACAGAATAATTCATACTGTTCATGGAGCAGCAAGTCACGCTGAGAGGCCATGAGACACACACTGATGCTGGGAAGACAACAACGCTGGCTCCAGCATGAATCACCAGTTATAAAAAGCATAGAATCAAAGAGGATTATATTATAACTCTAAATGTAAGATTCTGAAGAGTTCAATCATATCCTCTTTAATGCAGATCAATTTCTTTTTACTCACAAGTGTCCTGTTTCTCTTGGCAGTGTTGAATGCCATTGATTCTTTTAAAGGTCCCCTATTATACGGTTTTTCATCAATATATTGTAGGTCTCAGATATACACAAAACATGTCTCTGAATTGCTTGGCTCCAAACACCAAACAGATCATTGCAGCATTACCCATAATCCCCTCTGTTTCAGCTCTGTTTCAAAAGTGATGATTCTCTGTCTGTTACTTTAGATGAAAATAAAGAGCCCCTCCCCACGCCCCTCTGAGAGATATTAAAAAGAACACAATGGTGCTCTAGGAGGAGATTCAGGTGGGGGGGGGGGGTTACCTTGGTCGGTTATTGGCTAATGGTTACACACAGGGCCGCCCCTCCCTACACGCTGATCACGCAGACTGCGTGGGCCTCACCTCGCGGGGGGGGCATCATCTGAAGCGCAAATGCGGCGCACCTTTATGCGCTTACGCGGCACAATTAGTGCAAGCTCAACTAGCAGTGGATTTTGCACAATAGGTGACCTTTAAGTAATCCATAATACATTTTCAAATGACATGGGTACAGTCTTGAGAGGGGCTTCATCCACTCTTACCTGTCCCATCATGGTCTCCTTGTACTGTTTCTTCTGTGTGACCTTGATGGGCGGCAGCTTGGTGACGGCAGAGACCAGGAAGTTCATCAGGATGTCCTCACAGTTGGCCAGCTGGTCCACCATGCCCTTCAGACTCGTGGGTAGAAAGTTGGTGTAGAGGTGATGGTAGTACCTGCAAGAGAGGACAGAGAGGAGTTAGACATATGTAGAAAATAATGATTTGGGTCGCTTGGAAAAAGCCTGAGGCCCTAAAATAATGATACATTTTATTTAATTTAGAGTCCACCTCAGTGTAAATTGGTCTTGGCCTTTTCTAGAACAGCAAAAGTGCATTTTACAATATAAATAACACGACCAAATAAAGAACTGCTTCGACAACTCAATTAAGAAGAACCACACATTTGTGACACCTTTACGTTCCAGGTCGAAGCCTTTGGGCAGAACTCTGAGTCCATCAGCAGACTGATTGCTGGTGTTCAAGAAAAATTGAGTGTTATTGAAAGCGATTAAGCGTCAGGCTCCTCTGATTGGCTGGCTTCAGCCTAATGGACTGCGGCCATCACAGCTGAGTGAAACCATATAAAAGCTGACAGCCCTGCAGTGAAACTAAACGCAGGAACTATGAAACGCCTTGTAGCAGACAAATTGAAATGTTTTGGGATAAAACATACCAAGTGTCAAAACACTGGTTTCCCGAGGCTGTGCAACACTGAACATCACACCTACTTTTATAATCTACAGATCACCGCATCAAAGTGTTGCATCAAAAGGAAGACGACTGAACACTTGAGAGCAGAGCGGAGCAGAGCTGTAGTCCCCCGTACAACAGACGGAGAACAGAGCAGAAGTGAAAGAGCATGAGAGGAAACAGCAGAGCGCAGTGAGACAGAGAGGAGGTAAACAGCTGTAGTGGAAGTGTTTAATGTGAGGCGTGTTCCGTACCGGTGGTAGATGGCGGCCCCCGTCAGCACCATGGAGTAGTCGTTGGTCCATTTGGACGTGTAGCCCCAGCGCTCCTTGTTGCTGTCCCAGAAGTGGCTGCGAGCCGGGTAACCAACGATCCGCTCTGGGAAACTCTGCCACACGGTGAAGGCAAAATCCACCTTGACAGAAAGAAAATACAGATTTCAACATATATGATGCAGAACATGATATTTACAACTAGTACCACATCCTGATAATTCATCTATTTCAAGTTGAGATGAATTATTTCATGATAAAAAATGTATTTTCTTCTGATTCATCATTTTACAAGCAGTTGGTTAGAGTTTTTGGGTTGCCAGGTTGGGCAAATACATTTTAAATGAAGTTTACCCTCCTTGAGCAGGACACTTTTATAAATTATTATTTTTCATTCTCTAGTTGATCATGGCAGCGGTTACCAATATATTTTATATGACATACAGTCTTCACAATCGTGTCAAATAAACTACCCCAAGGTACCCCTGTTGTTTATTTCAACCATTACTTTTAAACAATTAAAACGATTTATTAACTCTTTAATGGATTTGATTCCTTCTTGAAAGCATAAAACTGTTTAATAATACATGTCAACAATTATAACCGCATTACTACTAGTTAGACAGGATAAAGACCAGCCTCCACATCTTGGTAACCCACAAGTTGCTTTAGTTAATGGGTTAACTTATTTATAAAGCATAAGTATTCCCATATGTATTCTGTCAGTTTAACATTTAAAGACAGACTGCAGGACCTTTTGTATTTTGGAGCATATTGGCGATGTGAGTAACTTTCCCATGCTAGTTTTTGTAATTACTCTCCCTGCCAGAGGGGGGAGACAAAAGGTCTGCACTGAAGGTTCAAAGCATGACATTTCAAACGTGGGAAATAGCATTTGGTTGCAATTAATGTTCTATTTACAGTATTAATTGATCAACACAAGAAACAAAGGCTGTGCACACTGTAACACACCATAGGGAAAATACAACAGCGGCAAAACCTCATCGAGCACAAAGCAGTCTCCTCTCAGCAGCTGCCTGAACGTCTGAGGACACGATCAAAGCATTCAATCAAATAATCAGATGAGAAGACCTAAAGGTGCTCAGCTGCTCCTCAAACAGCCTGTTCTGCATTACACCACATATTACCACACTGTACTTCACGGAGACTGCTTACATTATGTCAAACCCCACTCTAAAACACAACACACATTTATCTCTTCCTGCCACAATTTGTGCTCACCAACAAATCCCAGAGGAGGAGGAGAAGAAGAGAGATCTGCTTCTCTTCCGCTCTTACTTTCAATGAAAAGCAAAAGCGTATATGGAACAGTAGCAAGGAAAACTCGTTGAACCAGAATCAAACGGAAGTATGGCTGGCATATTTTACAATACATTATTATACATTTTAAAAAAAGAAAGGAGAACTAGACGCTAGTTTTTATTTTATTATGAATATCTGCTCTGCTTCTCACCATCTTCAGCTAAGAGGAAAACAAGGAGACTGTCCAGAAAGTGATGCTATTTCTCACGAAATTGTATAAACATTACTGGCATTTCTGTTTCCCAAACCCTAATGTTTGTGAACATGATCCAACTGTCTCCATGTGAACAACACGAGTCAATTCATTTTTTCGGTGCTGGATTTTCCCTCCACTGCCAGCTCTGAGTTGCCATTTTGATCCTCGGCACAAACAGCCTTTATGAGATCTAATTCTACCCTGTTTAAAGCAGCATCTGGCTTCCCATGGTGCCGCGCCAAAACCTATCCCCGGGAAACACATGAACAGTCCCGACAGCATGTGGAACAAAAATGCCCATAATACTGTTCTCCAATAGGGGATTCGGGAGGCACGGTGTGATTACAGGCGCCACAATGGAAAGAAAAGGGAAGAGAAGGGGCGGAAAAAAATGACTGGGAGTAAAAGTTTAAGCGATTTAAGAATTGAGTTTCAGAGCGATAACTTGAAAACACCGGGGACAAACCAAAAGAGTGATAATAATATAGAGAGAAAATGCAATCAGAGTTGCTTTGGGCACATGGAGAGGGTTTGGAGCTTTGTTTTGTCTCAAGAGGACCAGACTATCGATACAGACAAGAGGCAGCAAGAAAGAGAGCAAAAGTGTTCTACTTTATTATATTACAACAAACCTCTGTGGTGGACAACACGGTGTCTTCATCCAGGCTGAGGACAGCGTCGGTCACTAAGGTCTCGTACGGCAGGAAGCGACTGCTCATCACCTGCAGGAGAACCACAGAGCACAGAGGATTAAAACCAGAGGAGTTGGGAGTTAATTTCCCTCATACAGCTTTCATTTGTGATCATTTAGTAGCCTGGAACACAGGCTACTAAATGCAGGAGCAATGCCTGGAACACAAAAAAGGCAGGAGCAAATATATTTCTGAAAGTTGTGGAAAATGTTTGCCCCTTTCTTCATTCAGGTGCCTTTTGAACTAACAGTTGAGAGATGATCATGAATAGAAATGAGAGCCAAATGGAAACAGCTTTATGTCATTCTTACTTCTTGGAGGTTGAATTAAGAGATTTGCTCAAAATATGGGCTTTTTTATCTAACATCTTTCTTTTGAGCTCTGATTTTGCTCTCTACCAACTCCAGAGGGAAAACACTTTAGCTGCCAAATGCTCCACTATGTTTTCCAGCTAACTTTATCTGTCGTTTGGTGCTTGTATAAAGTGTACAGTTTTGGGGGGCTGCCAATTGTGGGCGTAATTAAAGCCAAAGTCCAGCTTTAGAGTTGTGCGAGTGAAACAAAACAGTCAATCTGTGTGCCAAAAAAACCAAACAATGAGCTGAAAGACAATACAATATAATGAACTGGTGATCCTTGTGAGTTCACATGAAACTTTTCACGTTAAAGTAGTCAAACGATCCAGAGGTAGTGTAAACACATGGCTTATATAATTGTTAAGGATGATTTTAGCTACCCTGACTAGCTAACCTTTGTTCTTTCAGTCTCCACCTAAGAGAGTGTCGAAAAGCTGAACGTAGGTGGCGAAAAACAAATCTCCAGGTTCATTTTGAAATCTATAAAGAGAGACTTGGCCTTTATAATTTGGAATTGAAAAATGTACGACAGTCTTTCTTCTCTGACATCATTGCCAAAAACAAAAACAACGAACGTGCCTTGCTTGCTACCGTCGACAGACTAACAAACCCCCCAGTGTCAGTAGTCTCTGAATTTCTATCCACCAGGGCCTGGAATGAGTTTTCCTCCTTCTTCACTGACAACATTCAGAAAATCAGACAAGCAGTCAGTGCCTCTGCATCAGGTACAGCAAATGTGTTTTCCCTGTGTCCACTTTCAAATCAATTCAAACACCATGACACAATTCCATCAGATTAATGATAAAAACCTAGAGGACATTATTCAACTTCTGAAATCCTCCTCCTGCTGCCTTGATACTATTCCAACAGGATTTTTCAAAAATGTTTTTCATTGCATGGCCTCAGATCTACTTCATATAGTAAACAAATCTCTTCACTCAGGTGTTTTTCCACAGGCCCTGAAAACTGCAGTCATTAAACCGCTAAAAAATAATAATATAGATGCTTCAGTAATTAACAATTACAGGCCCATATCACACCTGCCATTTCTAGGTAAAATCATTGAAAAGGTCGTTTTTCAACAGTTGAGTAATTTCTTGCAATTAAATAACTGTTTCGATGTGTTCGAGTCAGGCTTTCGTCCAAACCACAGCACTGCGACTGCTCTTGTAGAGGTCTTCAATGACATCCACTTAAACACAGACAGTGGCAGAACTTCAGTGTTAGTATTATTAGATCTCAGTGCTGCGTTTGACACTGTTGACCACAACATATTACTAGACCGACTGGAAAACTGGGTGGGACTTTCGGAAACAGTTCTAAATTGGTTTGAATCCTACTTAAAGGACAGAAAAAAAAATTGTTTCTATAGGTAAATACACATCCGAGTTCACAAATATGACATGTGGGGTTCCTCAAGGCTCCATCTTGGGGCCTCTTCTCGTTAACATCTACATGCTACCACTGGCTCAGATAATGAAAAACAACAAAATAAGTTACCATAGCTATGCGGATGACACACACATTTACGTAACCATTTCACCAGGAGACTATGCTCCAATTCAAACACTGAGTAAGTGCATTGAACTAATCAATGACTGGATATGTCAGAATTTTCTCCAATTAAACAAAGATNNGTTACCTTGGTTGGTTATTGGATAATGGTTACACGAGCCAAAAAATCATTATGACATCATAAAGTGGCCAAAATCTGATCAGCTCATTTTCAGAAAGTTTTTTATATAAATGGATCAGGATAAAAAGAGAGAGAATCTTTTTTTTCCTGAAACTTTCAGAATCTCTTTACACAGAGGGGACACATGTTGATGTGTAAAATACATGAAAAAGTTGATTTTACATAACA